CGAAAACATGCTTAAATGCTATACCTATTCTGGTTCCTTATTGTTCATGTGGTCTTAGTAATGTAATTATCTTTTATGTTTTTTTTCTAGCATGTTTGTGTTTGAATTCATTGGCATTAAGCAGACATCAGTTAGGATGTACATTAATCTTGAGCAGGAAAAATCCTGAGGCATTTTGTTTATTTTTGGGAGTTGCTCAGCAAATAGACTGCTACAATGAGAAATATAATCTGATAGCCTAATGCTTGCTTACTAAAGCACCATTGAATGGAGTAATGGCATTCTTGCAAACAAAATAGACAGTTTTGTGGGTAGAAACCAACATCAGTGGGAGGAATCCAATGCTTAATCCATGAAATGTAGATAATATACCAGTATACTTGTACTGTAGCTGAGGGTTATTGCCCTAGAGTCTTCAGATTCAACTCTGTCAACATATTTTCTGAGAGGTTTTTGTCATTTTTGCTTTTATCTTTTTTGTTTTAAATCTTACCTAGTACAGAACCCCCACATGTTGCAATGTATTCAGTAGCACTTTGCCACTCGGTACATTGCTTGACTTGTACTGTTCTAAATCATGCACAAATACATTTCAGTTTATATAGTGGAAAATGTATGGATTTTGGCTATCCAACGCTCCTACTGCAGAATGGGAGGTGATTACCAGTGATAGAGGAGAAATGATGCCAGGGCTCTAGTGTCTATTTTGACTATAAGCACAAGTCTATGAAGAACTTTATAAAGATGTTCCACGCATATTTCTTTTTCAGTCTCCTTAAGGGATGTCTCTTTTCGGGCTCCTTTCTAAAGTGGCTGGAAGGTTACTGGTTTGTATCCCACGGCCGACAGAGGAATCCTATTTTGTTGGGTCCCTGAGCAATGCCCTTAACCCCAACTGCTCCAGGGGTGCTGTATAAGTGACTGACCCTGCGCTCTGACCCCAAGCTTTTCTCCCTGTCTGTGTGTCTCATGCAGAGAAAGTTGGGGTATGTGAAAAAATACAAACTTCTTATACAAGAAATTGTATATGGCCACTAAAGGGATCTTATCTTAAAGCAAAAATAAAAAATGCCACTTAAAATTGACAGAAAACCAAAAATGTTAGCACTATAATAATCATTTAATTATCTGTGTCTTTCAAAAGAATAAAAAAACAATACAAAATAAGATGGAAGCAGTAACAATTGTTGCTATTCTCTTGGCATTTTATTACTTTATAGGGTCAGATTCCTGGATGTAAACACTACTTGCATGGGAAAATTTCCAGAACATTAACCCTTGCAAGGATCTGAATGCAGGGTACTTGTGCTTTACAACGGATGACCAGTCTTGAGCAGTCTTTAAATGTGGTATACAAAGCCCGCAGGGCTCACACTAATCTCTGTTTTCCCAACTTAATGGAATTTTTCTCATTGAAGACTTCTGTCCACCCAGCTCTGTTTGATGTGTTGACCAGCCCTGCTATTAACAGTTCGAAAGCTCTAAGCTGTTCTTTCAATCTGAACTCAAATGGGGTGGAGTTATTCAATTGACTCCAGAGCAAGAGTAAACTCCAGTAACTTTAATCTAGTGATCTAAAAATTAGACCATGACAGAAGCCTGAAGAGTATTCATGTGAACTGCTTTCTTTGAAGCTGTTTTTTCTTCACAGTTTATTGGGTTTTTTTTTCCTTTTAAGGAAGCAATTTCCTTTTAAGTGTAGTTTCAAGCTCTTTAGGAAGTGGTAGATCTACTGCTTAATAAAGGACTGAATGTTTAATACACTTGTGTGGATTGATGGCCATTTGAATTACAGTACAAGGAGTTAAAGTTTGGATCTGGTTCCGGTTTTATTAACTGATAATTACTCGCTTTATATTTCAGGATGACATTTTCTGAGTTACTGCCAAGTGATTTAATTTTTTCTATAATTACATTAGTTTGTAACACTTGTTCCTGTCTTCTGTGTGGTTCATAACTCCAACAATTTTAAATGTACCTCTGATTGCTTAAAGATCTGAATCTACGGGTTGGTGTTTGTATGTAGAATTGACTCATCCTCAGACATTATCAATAAGTTAAATTTGCTGAAAATTACTTTTTATCTTAACTGTCTTAATAACATGAGGTACAGCAGTGACAACAAATTAGACTTAAATGTTTGTTCTTGTGTGCATTAGACTGAATTAAATAGAATTACAATTTAATATAATATATTACAATTTTACTGGAAATTCTGAAATAAGGAAAAGAAAGACCATGTCCCTAAACACCAAAAGTGTTTCAGGTTTTTTTTTCTGTACGTGATTATTTTTCCTTTGCAGTTTATTGGTTTTGTTTATGTATTTGTCAAGTTTTTTTGTTTTTGTTCAGTTAAACTGTTTCTTATGTTAAGTGTAACGTTAACATGTTAAGTTACATTTAGATGTATATCATTCCCAATTGAAATATATAAATTATTATTAGATATTCATAACCCAGTTTTTATTTTGGACTGTATAGTACATGCAAGGTGCACAAGTAATGACATCTTGTAATAACTCAACAGTATAGTTCACTTAATCGCTTTGTTTGAAAGCACCAAATATCTGTGTGTCACTTACTGACGGATTATTTAAGTAATTTAGTAGTTTGGTGTGATGCATACCAGTAGAACTTGCACACAAATGTATTTGTGGCAAACCCTGTCAATTTCATATTTTCTTGATTGAAGTTTCCTCTCCATCCTATAAAACTACATCAACAAAACAAGAAAAATAACCAACAAGTTTTCTTTACTTTTCAAACATATTTTATTAACAACAGTTATTTATATTAAAACATTATAAAGTACATATATTTATAATTATAATAAATGATTTTAAAGCCTTGAAATAATTTATTAACTAGTCTGAGAAAGACAAATTTTGATTTAGAGTCGTGCAAAGGTGCATTGTTTGACATCTGTTTGCTGTTAACCACAGCTAGGTTTATGGATTTGTCACCTAGTTGAGTGCTGTAATGCTGAGGTCAAAATTTAAAATAAATCATTCCAACAGTGAGAAAAATCACTGTTGTGTTAACAGGTATTTGAATAGGTGTATTTGTCAGATTTAAAGATGGCTTTATTTACTTTGTGTGACTTTGTGGTTAGGAAAGTCTCAGATTGTTAAAATACAAAATACAGATTGTAAAATGCAATGTGGTAGAATTATATTTTTCACCTTTTTGTGTTTCTACACTCATCTGCTTTTTATATGTTTTTTTCCCCAGTTAGGTAATACAAGGAAACTCTGTGAAGATTTATTATTGAAAACTCAGGGGTGGTGAGAGGAATCCACAGAAAACTCATCATTTTATAATTCACATCACCTGTGACTGTATGTTGAATGAGGACAGACTCTGCAACATTCTCACCAAGCTAGAAGCTCCCTGCTGCAGTAAATCAACAAGAAAGGGATTATGGAAGATTGAGTGCTTGGGACCTGGAACCTAGACTCAAATCATGTTCATTTGTCAGTTTTGAACAGGATACAGACATGAAACACATAATGATGTAATTAAATGTCAGAAAAATAACTTCATTTTTTTTCAACAAAATTGTGAATTCAACAAAAGTCCAATTATTGTACAAGCCTGCTGTCTTCAAGAGATTTGAAGATTTTACTACTTACTTGCAATCCAACCATAATGAAATTGTGTTTAATTACTGGTTTTGTTGCATTGTTGCATGACTGTTTTAGTATCTGAGTGTGTGCCTTGTGGTTATTGCCTTTCCCAGGAGCACTATTAGCTTTAAATGGAATGGAAAGAGCTGAAAAGTGTAATTATAAAGCAAACGCTTTTGTTGTTGTATCTGTCGTCATTTAAAGGTTCTGCAAAAATTGTGATTCCTTTTTCCTTCACAGCTGTGTAAGACGATGGCGATTTTACTGAAATTTGTGCGTAATCCTACAGGACTCTGTAAAGTTTATCTTGTGAGGTGGATGGAAAAGTGCTCGTTTCCTTCCTTTGAAACCTAATGGTCCATTCTCCCTTTAAATGAGATTACTTCGCTAGCCTTTCCTGCCATGCAGAATTGATTTCCTTAGTCTGTGCCACCCACAGGAGCTTTTTTTAAAGAAAAACAAAACCTTGAGGAAAAAACCTTTGGGAAAAAAAACATTGAGGTGCAGAAGACAATCAAAATTGTTTTAAATTCCTTAATTGTTTGTCAGGGCTCTAGAGGTTTAACATCAAGTTAGGCACCCTGTCTAAAATATGGTGGTGTTATTTAGTTGGTTCTAGGGTTTGTGACTTAGCTTGACTGTATAACTTTATAATCCCTAACACTCTTTGAGACAGTGTTTTAAGAATTCCCCAAACTGAAAATCGGATATCTTAAATTTTAGTTGTCAGTTGAAAAACATGAAATTAATGTTTTATTGTTTATACTAATAAGTGCTTTGAATCCAGTCTGCACATCAAAATTCTTTAAAATGTATTAATAGTATGACATGGTGGTGGTGAATTCTACTTCTGCATATGATAACTGTAACTTTAACTTTAATCATATTTACGTCTATTTAAAAGCTTAATTCATTCATTTTTTATGTCTGATGGATTCAAGAATAATGGCATAAATTATACATGAAGAATTTCCTCATTCTGAAGAACAAATTTCTAAATTTGCAAAGTATCTTTAAACACACCAGTGCAAATGTGCTGAATAATTAAAACACGGTTGTCTGCTTCGTGGTTAAAAGTTTATGATGATACTTTGTCCATAACACCACGTTTTGTCCCTGAGAATCTTTGATTTGGAAAGATTTTTAACAAAATTGTTAAATTAATATTTCACTTGGCTATCCCTCAATGTCTTAGACAACTAGCCAATAAATTCTCTGCTGTCAGACTACACTGAGAAACCATAGAAAAATACAGAGATCATCAGTAAGAAGTATTTTTTTCATCAGCTAAAATGCAGCAAACAAAAACACGATTCAAAAAATAGCTTTTCTTAGATTGAAGTATTCACAGTTTGCTCTGTTTGTTGTTTGCAGACTCTCAGTTCGTTTGCAAGACTCCAGCTATTGCAGACATTGTCATACTTGTGGATGGCTCGTGGAGTATCGGCAGGATAAACTTCCGACTGGTTCGCATGTTCTTGGAAAACCTGGTGAGCGCCTTCAGTGTGGGCTCCGACAAAACCCGAATAGGTGAGTCACACTGAGAGGTCCTTTATTTGTGTGTGTTACAGATTCTGAGACTTGAGACATTGGAAGGCAGCAGCTGTTCGTAGTTCACAACCATGGTATTCGTGCAGTTACCGTATTCAAGGCTCAAGTGAGGAAAATTTGTAGATTTACATTGGCAAAAGTAGACGAGTCTAAAAGATAGAAAACTAAAGGCAATACATTTTCTGAATGATAGACATCTAGTCTCGGCTACTTATTCTAATTAAATTTTACTTACTGCTACAGTATATGTTCTGCAACAACACGAATAAAAATGATAAACATTTCTATCTTTCCAGCATGAGCATATTTAAGCCTGCAACATGACCTAATGTATAGGGATATTTATACTTCTTGGCTCTTATAACAAAGCAATTAAGCAAACATTATAACAAAGCAATTATTTTCTTTATTTTAATGGAAAACGGTGGAGTACTTTTTTTGTTTTGTTTGACTTCTGGTAAGGTCTTGCTCAGTACAGCGGTGATCCAAGAATTGAGTGGCACCTCAATGCGTACAACACAAAAGATGCTGTGATTGATGCAGTGAAGAATCTTCCATACAAAGGAGGAAACACCCTAACAGGTCACAAAATTATTACACTGTCACTTTTTTCCTTTTTAAAAAGTTACATTTTATGATGTTTTTTTATTTTATCTTTTGTGTGTTGGGTTTTTAAAAATCTATCTTAAGTGTTAATCTATCACTGAGATTGAAGTTATGCTCAGCATTATATTTTAGGAGAAATATTTTCATGCTGCAATTGAGTGATCTCTGTAATTTTAGAGACATAATGATCTATGAAGTGTCTACCTGTGTACACCTGTACAGTTCTTTGCCTTTTTATGATAGTAACCATATTAACTGTAATAACAAGTATTTTAAAATGAAATTGTAATTTGATTAGCATTTTAAATCTGTTTTTTAGGATACATTATCTTTCCCTTATTAAAATTATTCTACAGTATATGTGTAAATCACTCTTTTCCATTGAAAACTAAAGCACAAAAAAACATTTTAGGTCTTGCGCTGACATACATTTTGGAGAACAGCTTCAAGCCTGAGTCTGGATCTAGGCCTGGAGTTCCTAAAATCGGTATCCTCATCACTGATGGCAAGTCTCAGGATGATGTTATTCCACCAGCCCGAAGCCTTAGAGATGCTGGGATTGAACTTTTTGCCATTGGTAAGGATAGAGACCTCATTCTTTCTTGAAATACGTGGACTTTTTATATTTTAAAGCACTTTACCAGAAACTATCTACTGCAGTACCTGTGTTAATTATTTGTGGATGTATCGTGGCCAGAGCTCATCCTGGTTTCTGTAGTGTTAAGCAGGCTAGAGTGCTTGTAAGTGTGCTCCCCTAAATGGGATGCCTATACATCACAGGGGTAGCCCCTATACCCCACTGGAGTGCGGATCCCCCACTTACAGTATACAGCTGGGTGGAGTGGAGCTACTGGGGTATAGAACCTCACTCAAGGATACAGCCGCAGTATCTGCAGTGCGGACTTCAACTCACAGCCTATCAATTATGAGTCCAGTTTTTACCCACTATGCTGTGCTGCCCCCAGATATATAGATAGATACAGTATATATGTATTTAATTTTAAGTACAGTACACAACTTAACACGCCAATGTACAGTAGGACTAAGGGGACACAGTGTATTGATTTTCTTTGTGTTTTCTGAGGGGTTTTCATTCTAACCCTTCGTTCTAAGTAGAAAACCTGAGATGTACCTTCTTGTAGCGTTATAACAAAAGACAACCATGTGATGGGCGGTGTTTAATTTAAAGGCGTAAAGAACGCAGATGAGAATGAGCTGAAGGCCATTGCCTCCGACCCTGATGAAACCCACGTCTACAATGTTGCTGACTTCAACATCATGAGCTCCATCGTGGAAAGCCTGACCAAAACAGTCTGTGACCGTGTCGAAGAACAGGACAAGGAAATTAAAGGTATACGACAAGAAACACTTTGAAAGGAGATTGGTGCAATTCAAATAACTTCCTTTTTATTTTTAAGAATGGAAGGGAACAGTACATTATATTATATTGATGCTTTAGGCTAGCAAGGATGTAATAACTGACTCAGAGAATATATGACCTCAGTCAAGCAGTTAATCACACTTTATTTTCTCTTTTCATGAGGAACAACCTTCACATGGCTCTGCACATTAAAAACAAAATATTTAGAGGTCCAGAAAAACAAGCATTGATAACAGAAAAACAGCGTCTAAAATAAATGTACAATTGATAAACTTTTATATATCTCTTAGCGTGGAAAGTTCTGTAAGGAGGAGTATGGTAGGTATAATAATAAAAGCAAGTTCAAGTTTATTTTCTTTCTTTTGCCTAGTTCATCTGATTGAGCTTTGCAATAAGTAAAGTCTTTCAGCATTTCTGATAGTATTTTAAAAGAAAACAGCCATTCAAAGTGGTGTTGAAATTGAATTTCAGGGGTGTCTGGTGGCCAGGCGTCGCTGGGAGCCCCCCAGAATCTGGTGACATCTGAAGTGACGGCCAGGAGTTTCCGAGTGACCTGGACCCATGCGCCTGGGAAAGTGGAGAAGTACAGAGTTGTGTACTACCCCACCCAGGGAGGACAGCCAGAAGAGGTGAAACTAATGACTTGATATGTAATGAGCCAGCCAGCGTGGAGCCTCATGTCATCGATCACATCTGTCTCCTCCAGCGTGCTTCCTAGAAATGAGCTTTTGAAAGGTGTTAAAGGTGGAAGTGTGCTCTTGACTAACTATTGCTCATTTCTTTGTCTCTCTTAATGTTAATCAGTGCAGCTGGGAGGGCATATTCACATATTGGTCCTGCAGTGGTCCTTGAATGGACAAACACAATAGCAGCCTTTACAAGATGAATATGGCATGCGAGTGTTTTAATAGAGGCATCAGTTCACAGATATCAAATTATTGCACATCATAAATGAAAAAACACGAGAAGCCATTGCCAAAGATATAGTTTTGTTGCCATTTTAGTAGCTCACACTCTTATGCAAATTGTCTCCTGTGTTTGTTGATGGGTGTGAATATCCCTGAAAGTTTGAATGTTTCTGCTTTTTCAGCGTATGGATTAGCACCCAATGAGCCTGTGCTGTGCTTGTTTTCCAGGCAGTGGTTGATGGGAGTGAGAATACGGTAGTGTTGCAGTACCTGAACTCCTTGACAGAATACCAGATTGCTGTGTTTGCAGTGTACACCAGTGCTGCCAGTGAAGGACTCAGGGGCAGTGAGACAACATGTGAGTGTCGGAGAAATTAACAGCAATTAGTATTATTTTTTTTCTCCACAGCAGGATAGGTACATTTGAAGAAAATGAAGGTTATAGCTTTGTATAACCTAATTTCTTGTGGCTATCTCCCTTGTAAATTCTGCATCTTACAAATACTTTAGTAGAAAATCAATATACTGTAGCAGTTTATTACTTGGAAGAGACAATTATTTTGCATTAACCTGATCTGAAACATACAGGTAGGTATCTATTGATGGTTCAGGTACTGACATTCTTGAAACCATTTTGGTTGCTTTATTCCATGCAAACCCAGCAAAGCAGACGGTCGTCCCGGTATTGTGGAAGGGGAATGTTAACCTTTTTAAGTTGTCTAAGAAAGTGAAAGCGATCGTCTTGTTTTTCAGTGGCCCTGCCCATGGTGAATGACCTGCAGCTGTATGATGTCACTCACAGCACCATGAGGGCCAGGTGGAGAGGTGTAGAGGGGGCCTCTGGTTACATGATACTTTACGCCCCACTGACAGAGGCGGATGTGGCAGATGAAAAGGAGGTAAGGAGGTCAGGTTGCTCTTTTTGTAGCACAGTTGCCATGAGCAATCCTTGCTTGTTGGAGTCACTGGATCTCTCATTCCTTATGTGCTGGGACACTTTGTTAAAGGTTCTTAAAAGCCTTGCGTTCTCTTGGTGTTGTTTAAGCAGCAGGACTTGGCTCAAGGAGAGCCGACAGAGTTTATGGGCTGTTATTACTGGCCTCGTGGTTTATTACATGACCAGAATCCAGAAACTCCTGGAACTGGATACAGAATACTCATGTTGTGTACAAGTGGCTGTAGTTTATTATTATTAAAATATTATTTGGAATATTATGACATATATAATATCTACTTTGTTAGGAGAATTAGAATTTGTTGGAAGATTGCAACATGCTCATGAGATAATGGTTTAGTTTTTCTAGTTTTTCCCATGACAGGTCTTACTTTTGTCACAGTCACTTTAGCAGCTTCAAACCCAAAGCTGTGCTGCTCGTATATACCACAGCAACCATCCGCTAATATTTATGACCGGGATGCTAGTTGAAGTGGTGAACAATTCGTCCAGTGCTTGTTACCATACCTCAAAGATTCAGGCTCTTTTTATAACACTAGTGGAAAACTGAACAATTCAAGTGAAAGACATGGCTAAAAAATCAGTGATTCTGTTTTTTCCAAGTTGTCAGCACTGCACTCCTTTCAATCTCTTTGAGATGTCTGCTCCTGCATTTTACACTGAAAATGGAATTGCTGACACAGAGAGTTTGAGACTTAGAAATGTAGCAGATTGCAGACATTGCCTCAATTATACTCAACTAAACTGAAACTGACATGATAAATTTGTGTTTTGATATTGATTACAGTCAATCTTAGCAGTTATGAACACTGATATTGGTTTTTATTAACTGTTGTATGTATGCCCCGTTACTGTCAGATGTTAGTAGAATTTATGTGTCTGAACAGGTGAAAGTTGCAGAATCTGTTAATGATATAGAACTGGAGGGGCTGACTCCTGAAACGGAATACACTGTGACAGTGTATGCAATGTTTGGTGAAGAAGCCAGCGATCCTGTGACAAATCAAGAAACGACATGTAAGTGTTTCGTAACAGTTACTTTGCAGATTGTCTCCGGGGTTTGATTCCTGCCTGAGGGGCCCTTCCTTGTGGAGTCTGCCTGCTCTCCCATGTCTTTGTGGGGTTTCAATAGGGTGGTGTGGTTTGCTCCTGTCTTCCAGAGGTGTATTATGTGCTGGGTTATAGGAATTGGCTTTCGCTAAATTGTGTTCTTGCGTACTCTTCGATGTGCTTTTTGCCCTTGGCCCTGTGCTTGTGGAATTATATTGTGGCAACACTTCCTTTCTGATAATGGATAATGGATAACTGAAAATGATATCTTCAGTTCTGCAAAGGAAGCAGCAGGCTTTTCTTGCATTTATTATTTGTTATAAGCTTTATCATTACAGTTATAATTTACTGTTATAATACCTTCCAGAATAGAAATCCTTCCAAAAGAGGTAGCTACACCACATTTATGCATTTTTAATTAAAAGAACTTCATTACAAAAAAATAAAAAATATATACAAACTTAAAATACTGTGTAAAACTTGAGAATATAGGTTACCTTCATTCAACAAAGAACTTCCAAGTATCGTGAAATGTACTTTTTTGATATTCTGTACTTGAATTCATACTTTTATTCCTATGATTTTTTAGATCCTGGTGTTTGTGGTAGGAGTGGGCTGGGTGTGGAGGAAAAGTGGCCTGATACAGACTAACAGCACGATCAGCTTCTGTTTTTTCCTCACTTTTGTGTACTTAAGTGCAGTTCAGTGAACTGTTTGTTTAGTTTCTCAGGAGTTCAGTTGAAATTTGTTAACTTGAATGAACTATGCATCCATATATGCAAAGCAGAAATGAACAGAACTTAATCTGATTTCTTTTTATAGCCAAGATTACAGCCCATTTTGCAAAAAGCTATAATTGTACATAAAAGTCTCCCTTGTTTTAACGAAAGTGCCCCATTTACAGTACCACTGATCCCACCAAGGAACCTGGAGTTCTCCAATGTAGATCACAGCTCTGCCAGGCTCAAATGGGATGCTGCATCTAAGAAAGCACGGGGGTATCGCATCATGTATGTAAAAACTGATGGAGTGCAAACAAACGAGGTACGTCTGCAAAATAAATACACCTTCAAAAATCTTTTGGAGAACAAATTCTTTGAGAGACCAAATTAAAAGAAATCAGTATTATGTACAGCAATGCAAAATTCTCTATCTTGGACTGGTGACGATAAACTATTTTAACATACAGTTTTGCTTGGGTCCTTTAACCTTGAAAGCACAAACCTCTGAGTGAGAAATATGACATTCTTTTAATAACTAAGAAACCAGTTTACTGCACAATTGAATTATGTGATATAAAAATGACGTTTTTTATGGTGTTATGCACATTTTAAAAATACTTTCAATTTAAAATGTCGTTTTAACAATGACAATCCTATCTGCTCCGTTATGAAATTAATGGTAGACGACAGTAGAAATAACTGGAGCAATGTTTTTCAGCTGAACATCAATAATGTACAGTATTATAATACAGCACTGATGTTTCCTTTCTTTGAATTAGGTCGAAGTTGGCGAGGTTACATCGCATGTACTGAGGAACTTGACGTCCCTTACAGAATATACAGTCGCCATTTTTGCCATCTATGACGAGGGACAATCGGAGCCGCTGACGGGAAGTTTCACCACCAGTAAGTTTGATTTTGTTGTTGTGATGCATACTCTTAAGTTAAACCAGTCAGGCCTGGCTTCATCTACTGTACATCATATCATTCAAGTCCAGCGGCTTGATTTTGATGCTTTTTTTTCTCGTCGTATGTGAGCCAAATCATCAGGAAAGAAATTGTGCTTCTGAGAACTGGTATCACCAAAATCATCAGACAGGACTATCCAAACATTTTAATAATAATAATTGTCTCAGGTTGCATGAAGATGTCTAGATTTCATCCACAGCTTTGTACTGTAAATGCTCTTGTGCATTCACCATATACATTCTCTTTGCCTCTGTGTATAATGCAGTTAAGATAATTCTCTTTTTGTAGAGCCTGTGCCAACCCCACTCAATCTGGAAACTAGTGAAGTATCCACTAACAGTTTCAGAGTGAGGTGGGAGCATCCAGCGTCTGATGTTGTCCTATATAGACTTTCCTGGACTTCTATGACAGATGGGGAAACAAAAGAGGTCAGTTATTATCTTTTATATCATTTTTTAATCTGTTCTGTTCTACTTACATTTTATTATCTGTTTTATTGTGTCCAAATAATAGCACAGATAATAATTTCAGAATGTGGACCGATACCTGACTGCTAGTACAGTATGTGTTATTGTGTACCCTGTTAAGGGAGGTACATTATAAATTTGCCTTTTACACGAAAATGTACTTAATATGTTTTCAAAAAAGATTTGAAGCTAGAAGGCAGCATGGTGGCTCAGTGGTCAGCATTACTGCCTCATAGTGTTGGGGCCCTGGATTCAATTTCAAAACTTAGGTGTTATCAGTGAGGGGTTTGTATGTTCTCCCCATATTCACTTGGGTTTCCACCCACAGTCAAAAACATACTGGTGGGTTAATTGGCTTCTGGGACAAACGTCCCTCGGCGTGAGTTTGCAAGTGCCTGTGTTTGTTTCTATGTGCCTGCACCGAGATTTGCTGGCATCGCACCCAAGGTCTATCCTGCCTTGTGCCAGCTGGTTTCTGGGATAGGCTTCAGCTCCTCCACAACCCTGAATAGGGTGAAGTGGATAGAAGACGGGTGGATGGAATCTCACCCCCTACATAGTCAGGGTTTACTGATCATTCAGTAACACATGTTATTTGTTCTCTGGAAGAGCTTGATAACAGAGTAAAAATCAGGCCCAAACTTAGATAAAGAAATATTGATTAATGATGCTTAACACTAACATGCAACAGATACACTATACAATTACCCCTTAAAGACGTATAGTATATACAGAATTCTCCCTTTATAATCTTAATACACACAACACTTACAGCACCCACATCCAAATACATAAAACAGATCCTAACCAGAACTCAGTCTCTCTCTCTCTCTAAACTGATTCTCACAAATGAATGGGAACCATTTTCTGAAACAGCCGATCTAACACTAAATATAGAAGAGAGGTTTTTGGTCTACGGATTCCACAATCCACAGTGTTCAAATATTTTGGAATTTTAGAATTTCTAAATAAATAAGGTAGTAAGGTTTCGACTCCAGTACTCTTTCAACATTCAGAATACCTGGATGGAATCTGATTTCAAATCTGATTGGAAAGAGGCGTCCTCTCATGGCTTTCTGATGAAGATAAGGATGATGGATGGATGATGATAATATCTGTTCTTCTTCCAGTCCTAGCTTTGTTTTCCTCCCCTTTCTGTATTTATCCTGTGACCTTAATCCTCTCTCAGGGAGACTGCCATAATGGCCTCACTAAGAATGTTTTGGTTGCTCTTGAACACTTGTGTTTTAATATGGCTGATTTAATAATTAAGCACCGAATTAGTTTTACCCAAGTTAATTATTAGCTTGTTGTAATCATCTGTGTTTTCCTCCATGTTTACGGATCTCATGACCCAAGGACAGTTGCATAAATACAGCAGTACAATACCGTTTGTCTCAGGCCTTCAGAATAAGGCAATCAAGATGGGAAATGCAAACAAGCAAATCCCAGCTGAGACTAGGCTGACCCCATTTACTGCAACAAGACAATACCATCAAATCTTTAGATGTATTTATCATGTGCTTCCAGTACTTCTTCTGTTCTAATATTATTTAATAGGAACCTTTTGTTTCCTCAGCCTGAGGTATGTTGCCATTTCCTATCTTGGTAAAAACCTCAGTGAACTATTCATTTAATATGTCAGTCATTTCATTTATTTTTCATCTCATGTTTTCTATGTTTGTGAGTAGTACCCCAAAATATTACAATTTCTACTTCATACGATAATGTGATATTTATTTATCTTTTTTAATATAGACCTTTGTTTTTTGTAAAAGCAAAGGAATTAACCATTTCTTTGCTGTTGTAATTTGAAAAATCTTGTATTATTTAATTTAGCCTCCATTGATATATTCTTTAATATCCTTTTTTTTTTACCTGCACGTGTGCTCCTTTTGTTGAACAGGATTCTCTTATTTTTTTTACATTTTTTTAAAGTGTATTATTTTTCCATATATGTATCTTAACTGATTAATGAAACCCTTTAAGTGACTACCCTTTGATTTGTATTGTGTGCTTCAGCTTTAAACTGTAGCCATCCATTCTCTGCTGTCTCATTCTAATGGTATTCTGTATCAATTAATTATAGTCTCTTGTTCTGAAACTCTACCTGCACAGTTTCAAAATATACTTCAGAGTCTATGTATATTAGAATCATGATTATCTTGTTTGTTTATTAAGACTTCATCTATACAGACATCCCCTCTAGTAGGCTTTTGTTTAAACTAAGAAAGCAAGCTTTAGCCATGTCTACCACTTCATGTACTGCTGTTGAGATCTCTGGTATTTTTTTCCACCCTAATGTGAGAAGTATTTAATTTTCAGATTAAGGCAATCAAGATGGGAAATGTAGACAAGTTTCCTGGAAAGTTCTGTATTGAGAGTAAGAGAGAGATGAATTGAGGGTAACACCAGGGTTCCCAGCAGACCAGAAAGGACAGATTTATAGGGACGTACTGTAGAAAGGGATTTCTCAGTAGAAGTCAGTGAAGAAGAAGAAAAGGGGATGTTTAATTAGTTTATTAGATACAATAACAAAGCAGCTACAATCATCTAGTAATGCCTTAGTTGAAGCTACTGTTGATATGTGTGAAGACATTTTTGACATGTGAATGTCATGTGAAGTCATTTGTCAGGAAGCTGTTCTGTGCTTCAAGAGTGGTGCAAGACGTCTCGGGAGAGCATAAGGTAAAGCAGTGTGTGGTGTGGTGAGAGAAACATAGCAGTCTCAGTGCCAGGCCTTGGGGAACACCTCTAGATAGAGTATGAGGTTTGGATATGAGGAGTCACACCCTAAAAACCCCACTGCTGTTTGGCTTTGTAGCATTTCTGCTGAACTGTTCTTCAGTGGTGTTAAAATTAGATGATAAATTAATTACTTTTATACTTGTCTGTTACAGATGCTTTTAAATGGATATTCGAATACCTACGTCTTGAACAACTTGCTGCCAACAACTGAATATGAGGTGTCGCTGTCCGCTGTTTTCAGAGATGAAACAGAAAGTGATGCTGTGGCTGCTCTGGAGACAACATGTAAGAAATAATCTTTTCTTTTCTTCTGTAATACCCAAATCCAAAGCTTAAATTGCTTTTCTTCCTATTATAAAAACTCATAAGAATGTTTAAATATTGTGTAAGCTGTTTTGTGGTTCAGTGAGGTGCAAAAGGATATTTGCAATGAATTATTGTAACTTAATTAAGTTTAATGTTTTTGCAAACTATGAAAAAGGTTTCAGTTGTTCTTTCTTTGCAATTGTCTTCTATTCTTTTAAAACAAAAATGTTGCATACAATTCAAACATGGAATATTAGTTTTTTTAATGGTGACTACAAGCATTACTGTCCCTCTTACAGAAGACAGAACTTCTTTTCAAACCGGACTCAGTTCATAAGTAAGAATTAGACAACATGAGGGTATCTGTGCTGTAAGGCATCTATTCATTGGATTCTTTGTTATGGGACTCAAGCACATTAGTTATGAGACAAACTCATGAGATACACTGTGGCTCACTGTAAGGAAGAGAGGTTGGTAGTGCAGTTGTTTCTGTTACCTGTGCTTCCACGTTATCATGACAGTGTCACACTGGACAGGACATCTGTCTCTTAGGAAACAGAAATCAATTGCAAGCCTGACCGGTATTCTTTGTTGTGAATTTGTCTGTCAAGGAAGCAGTGGTGTGCATGCTCAAAGCAGTTGCAGCACAGGTCTTGCAGTGAGCCAGGAGAACTTTCTGCGTTCCCCTCACAGAAACAGCGTTATCACACCTCTTGTGAGCCCCCCTGCCCAAAATTGTGAAGCACAAGCCCTCAATCCCGGTCCTGGAGGATCTTGGTGTCTGAGGGCTTTCCAGATCTCTTTGGAACACCAGCAACTTGAGAGCTAGGAGAAACTGTTAAACTGCTCTAATTAAGCCAGTAATAAGCTGATTCAGGGTATTTTAAGAGCTCACGTAGACTGAAAAGATGTAGGCTTTGGGCCTCTAGGTCTAGGAGTGGAGACCACTGCTAACAGGCAAGCTGTGCTTGCTGTCAGAGTTGTCAGGAAACCTATCTTTTGAATCTCTCAGTACAGGCATAATTGTTTTATGATCTTAGTTAAGGCTCTGGACATCTAACTGGTACATTGTAGGTTGTGGGTTCAAATCAGAGGGGAGATGCTGTTATTCCCTTAAGCAAAGTACTTTATTCAAATTGATCCATTAAATCCCTTGCTGTATAAATGGATACTCTCCTGGTCAATATTGTAAATGATAATTTGCCCTCTATTGATTTATCAGCCCTGCATTTAGGGTGTTTCATGCCTTGTTCTCATTTTTTGCCGGTACTGTATATTCTCTGACTCCCCTGCGACCCTGTATTGAATAAAGTGGTTAGACAATGGATGAATGGATGGAAGATTTAACTGCTTTAGTATAAGTGTATTTTATTTGATATTCTAAGATACCTAGACAGAAAAAAAGCAATTTGATGTTCACTGAAGGGAATTAAAATATAATACTTGTTGTCTCATATTTATATTGATGTCTAACTTTGATTCCCTTTTTCCTTAGTGACAATGACAACCACCACCGCTACCACAACAACCACAACAACCACAACAGGTAAAGAAAAACCAAAAAGCTTTTTGTCTTGATTCTTGATTCAAAGATTGAGGGTGCATGTCAGTCAAATGACAAAGAAAAAGTCATTTCCACTATAGGGAAAGTTTAACTGTCTTTCTCTTATATTGTGTTTTTAAATGGTCCATAAATTTATTTTTTGTCGATGGTATGACTGTTGCACCGGGCCCGACAGGGTGTTGAAATGGGCTCAGTGAAAATTAGAGTCAATGAGCCAGGATATGCAGCAATCAACAGAATTTATTCGATGAGAGGACTGAGGACTGAGGACTGAGGACTACTGAGAAATACTTCTGAGAACCTGAAACTGAGACAAACTCAGGGCAGGATTAGTGACTCAATGTCTGAGCTCTGAAGAATGATTCCTCAGGGCTTAAATTCTGTGCGATGTTCCCTAATTGGCCTGATAGGCCCGGCCTGATCTCGTTGAGGTTGGCCCCAGTGAGTCTCTAGCATGTGCAGAATGTGCATTTGCAATTGATGGAGCTAATGCAGCAGTGCTGGAGCACGTTGGGGGATAACAATGACAACCTGTAAGTGATGTTTAGGATACTATTCTTTTTGCCTCCAGTTGTGCGCAATGGAGTAAGAAACTTGCTCGTAGACGACGAAACCACCTTCAGTATGCAAGTCTCCTGGGATATTCCTGACCAGAACGTGCGCCAGTTCAGGGTGTCCTACGTCACTCTGAGGGGAGACCGCGCTGAAGAGGCGGTAAGCATGGTCTGTGTGGTTCAACTACACTTCGCTGAGAGCCTTGGGAGGGGGCGGCTGAACGGCGCTGCATGAAATCCTTATTTGGATCGAGCTGTCCAGGAGGGGTAACGTGCCACTAATCAGTCAGATTGTCATTCTCTCGAAGAAAAGGTGATTGGTTTTTGTGCTGCCTTCCCCAGATGGAAAAGTCGCTAGGAACAGAAAACCTCATTGAGGGGTCTTTCTTTACAAACTACATCTTAGATTATGGTGCACACAGTCTGTCCACATGGCATCAGTTGACTGTGTCTTACCATCTAGATCATGCGTTCAGATTACAGTTGTGATGATTGAAGACTGTAAAGCAACAAAGGTCAGTGTAAGATGTCCCGTTTGTGTATGTACGAAAGCAGATCAGGACGATAAGTATAGAAAGTTTGCATACAAATACAAACATTTAAATGAAGTAGGGCTCAATTAGACTTTAATGGATAGCCTTTTGTTACCCTGCTTTGATTTTAAAAAACAAATATTTTATTTTTACATGCACAGTAATGTACAAAGTCTCAGAATTTAAACTGATTTCCATTAGCCATTTTTTTCTCAAGATAAGATGCTATATTTTAACTTTTCCATTCTTCAACATTTTCAGAGAAAACAGGTCAAATATGTATGTAATTTGGCAACACCTTAATATCTATAATTAAATATAGATAATATATGTTGATAAACCTGTAACTTTAAAGTAGATGTAGAAATTCAGTTTTCTAGTCTTCAATTTTTGACATTTATTAGACCAAGTACATTTCTTTAACCTCTTTTGGATAACTGGAATCAAATAAAAGATGGAATTGCTAATAGGGCTTTGCTGCTGTACTAATCCTGCCCTGATCAGAAGCAGTGTTGTAAGGTAACATGGGTCCTCTCAGGTTAATATGCCATGCCTGCACATGTGGTGTGCTACAAAACTGGTGATGAATGTTGTAAAGCAAATTAAAATAAGTGCTGGTGCCAGCTTCATAATTGCATGCTTTGCATTTTTTATGAAATTTGCAGCTTACTATAAAGTAACGATTGAATTACCAGTTGTAGAAATATTTAGTTCATTACCCTTTGCCCATTGCTTTGAATCTGGTCTCATTTGTCTGCATTAGTGTTTTGCAATATAAACACAGTCAGGACCACTCTTAGAGTGACAGCCCATTATAAGTTAAGTAAACAAGAGCTACGGTATGTTGTCTCTAGTTTGATTGGCATCCTCATAGTTTTGTAATTACTTTAATCAAATTAGGAGCAAATTTTGTTTCAGAATAGAAAAGACAGTGAGGTTGTTGTTAAAATGATCCATGTAAGCACACGTGAAAAAGTTCTCAAACATCTATAACATACAGTATATAACATTCTCAAACACATGTATGGCATTCCTCTGGTCATGGATAACCAGTAGAGCTTTATATTTAAATGTAAAATGTATATACATTACAATGTATAGATATAAAATCTGACCAGCAGAATCATTCCATTTTTGCTGTGTGATGAAGATGCTACTGGCCAAATAATCCGAAATCATTACCTAATGCCCCAAATGATAAAATACACACTTTATTTAGAGAATATTAACTATAATTTAGCATTCTGTGTAAAAGTCATTTGCAGGTTTCAGCACCACAGCTCAGGTGGACAGCTCCTAAAACTGGAGTTGAAGCAAAAGGACAGTCCAGTAGCAAAATGTGACGATTAAGGAGTTGTGCATTTAATTTAGGCACTATGATATTTTCTGTCATATGGAGAATATTGATTGAATGGATTCTAAATAGTTTATGAGGAATACATTATAAATATTATGCTTTCAAGTAATCTGAGATTTAATCAGATTCTATACAGGTTAGCCTTTAAGTGACAGTGCCATTTTCAGCTGGTAACACCAATGAGTTCTTTTAAATTAGTTTCTCATGTGAGACACTGTCTGTTTGTCATTTTTGTGAAACATTTGGATAGATTTGAAATCTGAATAGAGTTAAGGGCAGATGGATCTGTTGTAAGTACAATTCTTAACATATGCATTATATTTATAGTAATGTTTGCTTTATTGTTGTATTAGATTAATAATATGTTGCTCCATAAGACATGTTATTGAGTTCAAGGATTTGCCAGTAATCTTGCCACCAGTTCTGATCACTTTGTTCAAATTATTTTTATTCTGCGAGGACAAGACACCATCCAAGTTTTGAAACAGATTAGAATGCTCTGAATAAAACGAATAAAACATTGTGCTTTCTGATTAAAACTCCTTATTGTCCTTAAAAAATACAACCTTTATTGTGCATTTAAATACTTTGCCTCGGTGATTATTGTCCAAGTCATTTCACAGTCCCACAGTGCCCACTTATTTGTATTCATTTACTTTATCAATATTAGTTCCATTAATAATTACAGGGAACGTGGGAATACAACAATTATTTCTAAAATCATATAATACCATTATCTTTGTTCTTTTTGTGCTTAAAAACAGTGACTTATCCTGACACTTATTTAAAAAAAGAATGATCTCATGTCTGTAACTGTTTCATCATTGGTCAAAAGACCAGTCACAACAATGTCATGTGCAAACTTAGTAATCAAACCGTTGTTATAGTGGCTTACACAATCATTAGTATACAATGTGAAAAGCAATGGGGACAGCACACAGCCTTGGGGTACCCCATGCTTGTGCTGATGGTGAGAGACTTCCCCAAGCTCACTTGCACCTACTGTCACCGATCAGCAAGAAAATTGTATATCGGCTGTGTAAGTATATGATGTACAGTCGTCCCATACCTAAAAGCTTCACTACCAACCTTTTTGCTTGAATAGTATTAAATGCCGATGAAAAGCATTTCCAGCAGAAAGTATGCGCATATACTGTAGCATGATGGAGTTTGTAAATGCTTGTACTGTACCCTCGAGTACTGTAGTTTTTTGGACATCCTGCTATTCCATGTGTAAAAGGTTGCAGTGGGCAGAATTTCTTATTCCAGAAAATGCAAATACTATTCGCCAACAGCTACATCACCCTGCAGCTCTCAAATGGCTACCCACTGAAGCTAAGCGGGGTTGAGCCTGGTCAGTATCTTGATCAGAGATCTCCTGGGAAGCTATGGTTGCTGCTGGAAGAGGTATTAGTGGGGCGCCCACCCTGTGGTCTGTGTGGGTCCTAATGCCCCGGTATAGTGGCGGGGACACTATACTGTAGTGGGCGCCATCTTTCAGATACGGCGTTAAACCGAGGTCTTGATTCTCAGTGGTCGTTAAAGGTCCCCGGGCATTTCTTGATAAGAGTAGGGAGTTATCCCAGTGTCCGGGCCAAATTTTCCCCTTCTGCCTTTACTGGGGCCTCCAAATTGTCCCCCTGTATGATTGGCTTGCACTGGCCCTGCGATAGACTGGCGCCCCGTCCAGGGTGTACCCTGCCTTGCGCTCGTCGCTTGCCGGGTAGGCTCTCAGTGGGGGTATGCAATGAGAGTTAAAAAGGCAATATATTTTCAGAATGCAACAGGCCACAGAGAGTAGGGTAAATGTTATATTCTTGAAAAAATACAGCTACCAAGAATAATATTATTTGTTTTGCATTACAACATGCAGTTTTGGTGCAAACAAAGAGTCATCTACTGTAACTAAATAAACTTTTTGAACCCTATCCAAACCCTATAATTGGCTTTAGAAAATTACAAAGCTCTGAAACTGTTATTGTTAAAGCTGTTAATGATATCAAGCTAGTCGATTGAGATTCATATCATACTGTAATTCTCAGTACTGCATTCTGTACTCTAAATCATGATATTTTACTTAAGTCATTTAATGAGTTTCTTGGCATCTCTGGGTCTGGCTCTTAAATTGGTTATTTAAATTCTTTAAATCCCACCATGTGGAAGATCAACATTTTATTTCTCTTGGTGGTTTGAGTTTGGAGGTTGGGTTGGCCTCATACTGGTCCTCTGCTATTCAGATTTTCCATTTCCCTTTCAAATTACATGGTCTGAATGACCATTTCTACTGTATGTAGATGATACTCAAATTTATGTCCATATTAATCCTGACACCAAATTATCTGTTTCAGGAGATTACATACTGTATGTGACATAAAAACTCAGATGACATAATATTTTTGGTATCTTAATTGCAGTCTCAAGTGAGGTCATATTATTGGGGTCCTCCCATAATTTATGTAAAACTATTGCTGTAACATTGTAAACTGATGGCTCTGTGCTTGAGTTTATGATCCAAAATGCAGAATTCAGGGGTAGCCTTTGTCGCTGGATTGACCTTTGAACCTAATGTGCAGACTAATGTGCAGACTTTTACATGTGAGAAAAATTGTCGGGCTATGGCCTATACTTCTGTGCCTGATGCTGATAAACGGATTCATGTTTTTATTCTTTCAGGAATTGATTGTAGCATCCTACTTGTGGGAGTATTGGAAGTTTAACAGTCAGAATCCTGTTTAGGTTGCTTGCATGTGATCTCATCACACCTTGGCGTCCATGCGAAGGCTCCCTGTCCACCTTTAAGATGATTTTAAAATTCTTGTGCTTACTTTAAGGCTATACAGTACATTACATGTCTTCATAGATTTTAGATGATTTATTATCTCTTTACTCCTCTCTTTGCTATCTTCATTCAGCTGTTTCTGGTTTGCAATCTGTTACATTTATTCATCTCTACACTCTAGGAGAAACAGGGTCTTTTGTTGCTACTTCCCGAAGGTCTGGAACACCACCCCAAAAGAAATCAAGGACTCAGTTACATTGGGTGCTTTAAAGTATAGCCCAAAACATACCTTTTCCTCACAGGTTATTTGGGATTGATTTCCTATATCAATTTTTTATGTCTTGTAATTTGCTTTGAGATGAGGCACTATATAAAGTAAAGTTCATTATTATTTTTGTGCTTGACTTGATTGGCTTACTGTCACATTTATTACAGGGAGCTGTTCAAGTGTGAGTATAAATGGTCTTTTCTTGTGTTCGCGTTCAAAAGAATAAGAAAGACTGACATGTGCAGGGAGAAAATTAAAAATCCAATATTCCCTGCAAGTGTAGACTTAGAATGGTTCTATTATATGTTGACTGATTTGGTGAATTGCTTGTCAGTTGAGCCCAAGATGATAGGCTTTTAATTGCTCCAACAGTCATATGGGTGGATGCTCCAACCCAAGAAGTTATTCTAAGGGGAAAGTAGCAGTAAGTTCTTTAAAAATGATTGAGTTGCAACAGTTTCACACACCAGTCCTAGTATAACGGAAACAGAAAGAGTTCAATCAGTTGTACAGTGTATGCAAAAACATGAACACAAAGTTTTGAAGAATCTGAGAAGTAACAGTGAAGTTTGAGAGTGCTTAATTTCAAAATACTGCATCACCATGTGTGCACAAAATGATTAATTAATAGATCCAGCACCCCATGACATAATATGCTATGTTGATTTGAGTTGTTTTTTGCAGGCCAATATGAAGCTTCAATATTGTTTTACAATTTATTTATATAGTTCAAGTAGACTGCAAAGAAACAAGTAAAGGTTTATTCCATGCTGAAAAGAGAAGAAAAGAAACACACTGGCTCCACAGCCGAAACGTGTTTCTTTTCTTCTCTTTTCAGCACGGAATAAACCTTTACTTGTTCCTTTGCAATTTATTTATATAGTCTGCTTGGAGAAGCAGTGCTTATCCACATTCCTTTGTCCTATAACGTCTCACTTGGTTTATCCACCATTAAACTCAAAGGCATCAGTGTTTTAACACATCCGAAAGTAAATGGAAGGCTCTATGGAAAATCACTCGGTTTAAATGAGCATGAAATGAACTTGGTAAGTGGAGGAGCTTTGACAGGGTGTGGAAAAGAAAAGTATATACCTTTCCTACCTAACATTCTCACTTTTTCTTTGGTCTTCCTTTCCCCACCCCTCCGACGTAAAATAAATTATAAAATTTTTAAACAACAGCCAGTTAAAGGATCATGAGTTTACAAACATTTAGTTACTGCTTGTTGGCACACGCCCTTGTATTAACATGAAAGTATAACTGATTGGACTTAGGTCTCAACATGTGTACATAGGCAACAGAACAGGGCTGGATTATAACCTTATGAGTTATTCTGCGAAACCCAGTAATTTAGTACTGTTTTTTGAAACCGTACCTTTTTCTGGGAGTCATATTTTGAAGTCCTTTCATCGTGCCTTTGACTGCAGCAGAATTCCACAGGACTTAATGAGTGCAAATTGCTTTTCAGGTCCTGGTTCCTGGCAGGCAGAATAGCCTCTTACTTCAGCCCCTGCTGTCTGACACAGAGTACAGGGTTACTGTCACACCTGTCTACGCAGATGGAGAGGGCACCAGCATGTCATCTGTTGGCAGGACCTGTAAGTGTGTCTCAAATATGACATCCTACACCAGGCTTCCCTGAGTCTCTTTTGACAAAGCCTATTCAACCCTGTGCGATGCAGTATATACTGGTGAAAAGCAGCTGTAGAACAGTCCAGAAAAAAAGTGTTTCTCTTACCCAAAATAATCTTAAACTAGAAAAAGCACTATATCTTCTATTTTTACTTCAGTTGTCAATTACCACAATGCTGTTTTTCATTTCATCTGCTCCTTCTGACCACACCAACCTGAACTTTTTCTTCTAAATGTTGATTGGGATTGGAGAGAGCTCTAAAATCAAAGGAGTGGTTCTCAAGGGAGAAGAAGGAAGGAGAAAATTTATCCTGCTAAAATGCAGTAGTATAAATGCTTCATATTCAATAGCACTTTCTACTACCTTGGTAATATTCTGCACAGAATCCACAATTTACTTCTGCTCTTATTGGAGCTAGTGCAAAGATGACCTTAAAAACAGGTGGTAGAAATGTGAAACCCTAGATAACATGAAACCTCATTTTAAAGAGAGTAACTATTGTGACTTTTAAATTAGTGTTTACTTTTTGAATATAAAGACATAAATCTGTATTATTTCCATTCTATATTTATACTGTATGTCCTGTATTTCAATGAATGATAAGATGAAAATAATATGGGAATGGTTTTTCTGTTGTCTCTGTGTTTGACACACTCTTCTTCAATATGAAATGTATATTCATAATGAGTTGCCCCTCTCTTCTGGCAGTGCCACTGTCAGCACCAAGGAACTTGCGCGTGTCTGAAGAATGGTACAATCGATTTCGCATCACTTGGGATACTCCCCCTTCACCCACCATGGGATACAGAATCGTCTACCAGCCTGTCTCCGGTGCGTAAAGGCCATCTCTTTGCATAACTTTGGAGATAGCACTGTGGATATTTCATCTGCTTTCATTTAAATAAGAATTCAAATTATATTAAATTGAATTAACACATTGCATTCATTTTAATGCGTTAGTGTATATTTCTGAAGGCCATTTTTTCTCACAGGAAACTTATGTCATTTTTTAAATCATTTTGGTTTCCATGGAAATCTCATAAAAACATCAGAATGAAGAAAAGTGTGTGATGGGTTTCCTGCATAGGTTTAACTCCTTCTTCAATGTCATGTCTTAGGGGGGAGGGATATGTTTTGATTTCTTTGTAATCTTTCAGATCAGAACGCATTTGTCTTGAGGTTTTTCTTTTTTCTGGTAGTTATGCTAATGTCATTTTCTTTTTTCTGAGGCAGTAAGGTGCTTGGAAGATTTTGAGATGCACAGAATTTCACAGAAATTAGGTCTTAAGTATCTTGTTCCTATAGCCCCAGGACCTGCGCTGGAGACTTTTGTCGGAGATGATGTCAACACAATGCTGATCCTGAATCTCCTCAGTGGGACTGAGTACAGTGTAAAAGTCATTGCTTCCTACACAACTGGCTCAAGCGATGCCCTTTCAGGAAATGCCAAGACATGTAAGAATGTTAATAATTTCTTATTCTAGTTTTTCTATTTTATTTTGACCTGTGAACACTAGTAGATAGGATTATACTTGAATATACCAGTGATATTACAAGACATATCAACACAAATTATTTCAGGACATGCAAAGTAAAGTTGTCTCAAAAATGGAAATTTCTGTGTATTTGTGTTGTACTTTTCTACTTATTTAAGGGAGAGCCTGTGTGCTAGAATTTGATTTACTTTTCATCTATGCAATCTTAAAGTTCACATATTATTTAAGTGTAATAATATATGCATGCTCAGCTGCCTCAGCTGTTATTCGTACCCTTTTCGAATGGTAATGAAAAGTTGATTGAGCTTGAAAAAAACACGGTGTATATTAAGTATTTTTTCATATCAATATATCAGAAACTGAAGACTTAAAATACATTTCAGCATTGCAGATTTAAATATGGTCTGTGAAAAACAGTGACATTATTTGGCCTCTTTTCAATGAGTCAATGAGTTGATATTTAAAAAACTTGTTCCTTACTTGTCACGTTGAAGTGGAACTTTCATGAGCTCAACCTTGAACTGTAGTCTTTAAGGATTCCCAACTGTTAGTTGATTTTAGCCTTAGGTATGAGATTAACCCTCAAACAACTTTCTTGGCTCCCATATTTGACTAACTCTTTCCTGCACCCTGTTCCACATGGTAAGGCTATTTTAACCTTAAACTACTTGTTGATGAACACTAGTCTTGTTTTACAGAATTTATTATAGCCATCACTACATTATATGAGGTCAGTCATCTTTTGTCATAGGCCTTCAGACAGTTCTCTAACTTTCCTTATGGTAGTATGGTATTGAATGTTTTGTTCTGTTCTCTTGTCTCCTTTATACCACGTGGCACTCAACAGAATTTTTGGAAGCTTCTGGAAATGTTTTGAGGCTTTGTAAAACTACCAAATGCCAAAAAATGTTAGATGATTGTACAATGTCCAAATTTATTCGTATCCTGTACACAAGATACATTTAAATGCTCTAAATGTATTTTTTTTAAATGTAACTATTGTGTATGCTATTGATAAATTCAGTGCTCATTTTACCCAGTTTTATTGCATTCTAATTCATAAATGTTAAAAAGTCTAGACAGTCCTGCATTTTGTTTGTTAAATCTACAGTATTTATAGTTACAGTTCATCAATGGTATGATTGAAATTGGAGAATGTTGTATACATGTAAAATATTGTACTTATGAGTCATTTCTTGAAGTTCTGTTTTAAAAAATGTTTAGCTCTTTTAAAAATGAAGTTAACTATAAAGGGTGGTGATAGGTTTTACTTTTACATTGTCACATCTTATTATTTAGTATTTATTTTTTGTCAAAAATCAAAGATAAAGATTTTAAGTAGGACTTAAGGAAAAGAGTTCTTCAGCACTCTGAATCTGGACTGAAATCATTGTTTAAAAAGAGCTGTTTATAGCTTATGATATTCTACAAATCAAGTTGTGCTCCAAATTTTCTGTTGTGCGCTTAATGTTAAAATCTGGGCAAGAGAGTTAACAAATGTTTTAGAGTGATTTCACATGTTTGAAGAGAGAAAATTACCCCATTGCTGACGTAATGTAATTTGTTACCAGACTGGTAACGTTGGTCACCAGACAAGGTGGTAGGCATTACAATGCAATTCTTCAACAAATGAGCCAATTGTACGTGCATAATGATGTTGTGCATTCCAGCTGAAAACATGGACTTCAGTTTTAAATTACCATCTTAGGTATCTTGTTCTACTGTTTTCTTGCATGCATATGTTTTCGCTGTGTATATGTACAGTATATATGGATTCCTTTAGGACCTCCAATAATTTCATACTCAGGTATACAAAACAAGCTTTTTTATTCTGTGATACCAGCTTTATTGAATTGTCCCACTAGAATTCTGTGCATTTATGTTTCAAAAGACATATACTGATTTTAATGAACATGCATGAGTAATGTATAGAATGTTAGTAATATCAATGAAGTCTACATTATGTTTTTAATTTAATTTTGAATTGGATAGCAGTATCTTTTTGAAACACTTTCTGTTATTTCATTTAGTTTAAGCAAAAGCATTACTCAAGAGATAATGGCAGCACAATTTATCATTAATATTTTCTCTATAGAGATCCCTTACTTTTATAACTGTTACCAGAAACGGATCATTTTTCTCTATTTTTTTCCTAATTCCTTTTGCAGGGAAATTCATATTTCCAATAATTATTGCATGGGACTGTAATTTTTCACATTTTGCACTGTAAACCATGTACTATTCAATTTATTTTTCTTGGAGAGTACTCATAGGCATTATAAATGTACAGTATGCTACATGTTCTGGTCTCTATTTTTTGCTTGAAATTAATTTTCTTCAAAATCCGTTTAATTTTCTTAAAGTTATTTTTTTCCTTCAGAGAATCACAGCTGACAGCTCTTTATGACTGCAGGTGTATGAAATACGTTTGTGTGCTAATAATCTTCCAGTCTCTGTCTTGGCTTCAGGATTGTACTGCTATTAATTAAAGTGTTATTTCTTTGCAGTGTACCTGGGAGTAACCAACCTGAGCACCTATCAAGTCCGTATGACAAGCATGTGTGCACAGTGGCAGCCTCACCGTCAGGCTTCATTATACAGAGCTGTTCTAGAATCCCTGAGTAGTAAGTATCCTTTGGAAAGCTCCGAGATTTGCTGTTATGAGTTATCTTGGTTCTATATTAGTGCAACTGATGTTAATCCTAGAAACAATGTGTTCTTCTGTCATAATTCTACAGCTAGTTAGAACTAGTTTGCATCATACTGTGTCCTGATTAGCACCACAACATACTGTAGACTGTTAGGCTTGTTTAACATCTTAAGGATATTAGATGATAAAAAATGGATTTGTAGAGTGTGAAGATGAATATGCATAATATCTTGGGATAAAAGCTTTCATATTCTGTTCTTCCTCGTGTAATAGATACGAACCTATTTACCTACCATGTTTGAATTCCAAATTCCATTAAATTGTTTTTTTAGATACATTGCAGTGGCATATGTTAACATTACTAGCTTACACATCATAAAGTGATGGTGACAATTCCCTGCTCAGCTGGATTCAGTTGCAGATGTTTGAATCAATTAGATATAAATGCAAATGGCTGATTGTATCCTTGAACTTGGATCCTGTAAGAAAAGAAATGCATGTGTCTCATCCCTCAAGTTTAGAAATGATTTATATAATTTTCTTAAGGATTTTTAGAGAGAAGGAATTCTGCATTCTCTGACTTTCTGGAAAACTAAATGCATTGTAATGAACCAATAATGGACCTTTAAGCAGAATGCCAGAACACAGAGCTGTCTTTCATTGCCCTTTGTAAAGCTGCCCTTATCTGGTTGGTCAAACACTGCCTCAGGCCCTTCCTGCTTTCTCATGCTCTGCCAGACATTTGGAAGTTTTATCAGAATTTAAATACAAAGTGTCATATAAGTAGCTCATAAGATTAAACGTGAGCAGCAAGCCTTATGAGTGAAAGCAATTTGTTGATCAGTGCAATGTTGATTTGGATTACAGACATTTTACAACTGACAGGCATGCTATTCAAAACGTTTTTTACAGAAAACAACAGCCACAGACAGCTAGTACAGCAAATGAGCAGGTTTAACACATTGACTACCCCTCTGAAAATACTTCTGTTATCTGTGTGACACCCCAGCTAGTATCAAGATTCCTGAAGCTCTTTCAAAGTCTAACTGATATACTGTAGACGATGTTGGAATACACTTGTCTTTCATGGAACCTGGGAATTATGACGAGAGCTATAGTAACAGGTACTGTATACCGGGGCTGTAGTAATTAAAGCTGAAAAGTAGAAATCCCTTTTCAGGCTCAGCAGAATTTTTCTTTCTACATGAAGCATGGAATTAACCTTTTCCATGTTTCTGCAAGTGCATATTGACACAATTCCACAATCGAACTATGCAATGAACATACCCTTTGAGTGAAAGAAGAAAGGAAAATAGTGAGTAGCTTTTGTCTTGTATGGTTTTGGGTAGTCAGTGAAGGTTAGCTAGGGCGTTTGAAGACGCCGAAGACCGTGTGTTTTGGGCTTTCTTTTGTAGTTAGGTCAGCTTCCCTCACTTTCTTAGCCAGCTCCATTTTGTTTGTTATTTTATAATCACTTTTGCACCAGCACTTGTTATCACGCTTCCTAGTCCCTTACCAGCTGCATCCCAAAATTATCCTAAACGTTAAACCCCTTTACCCCTACACATTTGGAGTCTTAACACCTGCCTTGCGCTTGTTGCTGGGATAGTCTGGCTCCCCTGTGACCCTGAATTAGATAAAAGTGATTTGTAAACAGATAGATGGCAAAGGTGGCCATAAGCGGCGAACTGGGTTTTAACAGTAGCATCCTTTTCCTTTCAAACCAAAACTCAAATATATTTTTCATGTTCTAATATATTTTTTCATGGTACGGAAATGTATTGACTTTTTTTTAAATCTGTGAATACCTAGAAGATTTATTTTCCATTTTCTGTAATAAGCTATTACAGAATAAGCATTCATAAGCTAAAAGCTAGCAGGAACATCAAAAGTCACAATAATAATGCAATTCAAAGAGAAAAATGAAAGAGGTGAAGAGCAAAGCCAACTTTCAAATTGAAAAGTCACATGATGGGTTCATTTAAAAACTTGCGTCAAAGCCTTTTGTTACATAACATTTTTCATAACATAAGATTCTTCCTTTTTCAACTGACAAAATAAGGGAGGAAATTAAAACTGGAGGAAAAGATTTTTGAGATGTCCTATGTACAGTATAAGCCGTCTTATTGATGCTGTAGAACTGTACCTCTGTTGTTCTTTTTCTGTAGATTATATTTATAACCTCAAGTGGACTTGCCTACATAACTTTTTGTAAGAGACAGTGTGGGCGTTGTGTTAGGAACTGTTTAGAATATTAAGACTGACCATTATCAGCTGCCAAGTATCTGACCAGACAGAACTATATAGTGGATCGACACAAATACACCAGTCTAGCTTAAATGTGAATTTGATTTTGTGTCTTTTTGTTGAAATTGTCTAAAAATCTTTAAACATGCTAATTGCGATAGTGCTGGCTTATAACTGCTCTACTCACAAAGATGGTCTTACAGAAGTCATTCAGGGGTCAGCAACTTTTCCATAGGAGAAGTTATCAACGTCCGGGGTGGAAGACATGAATGCGGGGGAGAAGCAAATTTATGTTGAATGTTTAGTTACTGGTTGCTAGTGGGGGGAATAATTGTTGAAAGAATCATTTGTTTCTATATGTGCCACATCCAGTGTTATTATGGTGTGTAAAAGTAGCCTTAAACAAAAAGTGACTTGAAGATCTATGTCACCAGTGGTCCAGTTTGGAAGACGTGATCAGTTTGAGGGGCAGGGTAGTCTATTGTTTCAGTCTGGAGAATGGAGTTCTGTTAGTCCAAGTATGCAGGATGGAGCTCTATTGGTTTAGGCTGGAGGAGGAGGGGTTATATTGGTCCAGTGTGCAGGATGGAGCTCTATTGGTTTAGGCAGGAGGACCAGTGGGTACATTGGTCCAGTGTGCAGGATGAAGGTCTATTGGTTTAGTTTGGAGGAGTAGGGGTTACATTGGTCTAGTGTGCAGGATGGAGCTCTATTGGTTTAGGCTGGAAAAGGAGGGGTTACATTAGTCCAGTGTGCAGGATGGAGCTCTATTGGTTTAGGCTGGAGGAGGAGGGGTTACATTGGTCCAGTGTGCAGGATGGAGCTCTATTTGTTTAGTCTGGAGGAGGAGGGATTACATTGGTCCAGTGTGCAGGATGGAGCTCTATTGGTTTAGGCTGGAAGAGGAGGGGTTGACTATTGGGCTCAGTCTGGTGGAGGGAGAGTACATCGGTCCAGTTTGGAGGTCAGCAGAGGGTGGGTTCAGAAAAGTCCCTCCTGTTAATTGAATGCTACCAATGAAAACAAACCCCAAAATATGCTACCTGTGACTCCAAACAATACCAAGTAAAAAACACTAATCCAGTTCTGTAGGTGTAAAGTACAGTAGAACCAGCAATCTTGGCAGCAGTTTCGGCATTCCTCCCTCCCCAGGCATGGGTTTTGCTTGGCACTCTAATATTTTAAAAAATAAAACTTCTGCTATTGCTAAGAGTGTTGCCAACCCCTAGTCATGATTAATGACTTATTCTGCATAACAATGCAGTAAACATTATAGCCTGTTTAAAAATTAAGCATATCTCTTTCCTGTAATTGGATTTCTGTTGCTCATTGTGGTATTATGTGGCCTACATTAAAATGTCATATGCTGACTTATTTTTCAGTATGAAAGTTTAAGGGATAATTCCTATCAAGAATCTAGAGCTTTGCATGAAAATGTTTTACTTTCTTTTAAGGCAGTGTTTGTCATACACAGTATTGTGAATTGGGTTAGTTTTAAGCATTATTTTAGTTGTTTTGCTATGTTTAAATTTTCTATTCTGTTGCCCATAAAAAATAGTACTAATATAAAAGCACAATTTTATTTATAGATAGATAGATAAATAGATACTTTATTGATCCCGTGAGGGAAATTGCAGTGCAACAGCAGCTTAACACACACAACACAGCCACAGTGTAACGAATTATATACTAATAGTACAATACATACAATACAATACAAGAGTTACTCACAGTCCGGACACACAAGAGCAAACTAGAACAGAACAGTACACAGAAAATCGTATCACACGTAT